GCATTGATTCCTATGACTCTCCCAAAAGAGGGGAGATGCTACATATATGTGGCGACACACTAGTTGCTGGTCGAACTGAAATGAAGTAATTGTCAGTTGATGTTTGTTTATAAGAAACGATGTGCTATGTGAACCTGTTGTAATGTCACTTAATTATTGATCAAGCAATGTTAATATGAATATAACATTGCCTGCCCAGAGAGCTGCCTTCTTTAAAGCGAAGGACTCAGCCTGAAAACCGAGGGGTGGTCGCTAAGTCTGAACCGTACTGAGTGAATTTCTGTATTGTAGAAAGCGACAAAGGTTGCACCTACTTGCTCTGAAACTTTAGAGCCATCAGAAAAGATTTTAAAGTCTTGTCCTTTTGGTAGGTGTTTAAGCAATTTTATATCTTTCGTGAAAGATGGGTGGACTGGAGTATAATGGCAATGAGGTTCTGAGGAGCGCTGGTCTATGAATGAGGAGTCATCGAGCTGTAAGAAGTCCTTAAAATGAGCTAACCTTATAAGTACCACACTCAATTTCTGCTTTGAGATCTAAGGGGAAAACCCCTGCAAGGATTTGAAGAGCAGCTGTGGATGTGGTAGTGAAACACTTAGTGATCTTGAGAAGGGTGATGCATTGAATTTGGAGTAGCATCTGACGAATCCTTACCGTGGTAGACATCCAGATGGGGGAGCCGTAAAGAATCATTCTTTCAATTCCCCGCAGATATAGTTCTTTCAAAAGTTTCACTTTTAGATTCCATTTATCTGTGACAATGCGATTTAAGCTATTAATAAGATTGTAAATTTTATCTCAATTCATCGTTAAGTGTGGTACACAGGTGAGATTTCTATCAAGTAAGAATCCTAGGTATTTTAACGTAACTTCGTTTTTTAGTGCTCGGCCCTGCCATTTAATACGGGGTGCGATATTTACAAGTTTATTACCCTTTGGAAAGGTGATCACTTTTGTCTTATCGATGTTGAATTTAAGCTTGAGTTTGAGGCTCCAGTCAGTAATAAGATCTAATGCATTTTTCGCTTTGTTTTCTATTTCAGTGCGATGACCTTCTTGAATAATTAGGATAAAACCGTTGGCGTAGGCCTTGATCTGTGCATTTTCCTCGAAATCTAGATCAAATGCAGTATTCGCAATGAGATTCCACAATATTGGGCCAATACTGGACCCTTGGAGAGCGCCTCTATAGTAGTCGTGAGTGACACTGACCTCTTCTCGCTGGTAGGTCACTTTACGATTGTGAAGACAGGCGGAATATGACGTCGCTGTTGATCGAGCTAAAAGCAAGGTCTCATTTAAGTGCTCTGAAATATCGATGTCATTACATGGCAAGTGAAGTCACTGCAAAAATATTTTCATTTCAAAGATCGACAAATCAACTAGTCTTTTACACAAAGTTAAACATAATTTCAAAAATGTAATAAGAAGCACGAAATTAGGTCGTTTCGCACACGTAGAGTTTTACAAAATTGATCTTTTTTTTAAAATTTATTACTCCAGATGGAGTTAGCCCAAAAGGGCTATTAATTGGCGTTTTGCATTAAAAACTTTAAATGTCGGTTCACTTTTAAATTATTGCCACTAAATGTTATCGCCCTGTGTTATATTTGAAGAATTTGCATAAATGTATGTATGTTTCTTGCATTGGGATGCAGATTTTGAATAACGTAATCTTCCACCGAATATGGGCATCTGAAAGCCCTAATTTGGAATTTGAAATTCGTTTTATTATCAATTTCATATTTTGAAATATATATATATATATTGGAATTATATATTAGTATATTATGTAAGGAGTCAAAAGTGGCTACTTAAAGAAACAAAACCTGCAGTCCCTTTCGCGAATATTATGTGTAGGTTAATTTTTCATGTTACATTTTGATGCATGACTAAATTTAAATTACTCACAGCTTTAATTGTTTTATTTCTGTACATTATTCATTTTCAGTTTTACATTTAAGAGACACAAGTACACATTACTTAATCTGACTGAACATTGCATTTTCAGTTATAAAACGTTTTGAGTATTTTCTCTGAATCAATCAATGTATGCTGTACTGAAGGGTAAAAATCACAAAAAGGAGAAGAATCATCAGTTTTTAGATAGAGTTTTAGCGGTATTTCATTTTCAAATTCACACCTGTCTACTGCAGCATATAATCCCATCCTTACGCATGCTGTAGTAAAGCATGATCCACACCCACCAATTTCGTATGCATCCCAACTGTAACAAGGAGAGGATTCAAATTTGCAGTTTGGCTCTTCTACGCTGGCAATGAAGTATTCACAGGCTTTCGTATGGCTGCAGTACAGTTTCCTGTGCTCCTCCTTTGAAAGAAATAAGCATGAAGAATATTTCATAATATACAAAAGTTTAGAAGCAAATCATCTTTCTTTAATACTAAACTTATAATTTCAGTTTCATTCAAACCAATTTTCCTCATTGTTACGAAATATAACTAAACTTTGGTTGAAGATGTTAAATATTGTACTGATTTACAAGCAAATTTTGGCCTTTATGTCTTAATAGTCTACTGCTTAATTTAAAAACATTTCAGCGCATTAAAATCTTTCTCTTACCTCCTGTCGGAATATATTTTAGCACTTTTGCACTCACCCGATACTTAGCAGTTTTAATGAATATTAATGTCATATATTATGAAACTAAGTTTTATAAATAAGTAGATAGAAAATTTTAAATTCCATTTCATCAGTATATGCATTATACACTCACTGGCTAATGAACTAGAAACCCAAGATCAATATTTTATTGGACCAACCTTTGGACGTATAACTGCTCCGATTCGTTTGGGCATCGCGTCTATATGCTTCTGGAGTGCATTTACGTTCAGAGAATACCATGCATTGGCTACGCAGCTTTACAGATCTTGTAAATTAGATGATAGAGGAGAATGCTGTCGGATGCTTCTTTCCACAATATCCCCCGTATTTTCTATGAGGTTACGATCCGGGATATCCAATGGCCAGGGAAGGTGTTGGAAGTCAAACTGATGTTCAACGAACCAATTTTGAACACTTCTGGCATGATGTATAGTTGCATTATCGTCCATGAAGCGATCTGTGTCAGTTTAAACTCAATAAAGTCCCTCTTGTGCCGTACAATTCGTTGGAGACGACGCCGATCTCTCCCCCGGAAAACTGTGCTGGAACCGCAGTTATGTCTTTTGGAGAAGGACTGTGGGTTCTGATTCCAACTTTTAAAAACCTTTGATATCACTGCTTTTGAGAACTCAGTGAGATTTGCTGTCTTCGAAATCGAGGCTCCTGCTAAAGAGGCACCAACAATAAGCCCTTCTTCAAATGGTGAAAGATGTGTCGTTTTCCCCAATTTACTTCATTCATCGTGAAAAGCAATCTTACACCTTACTTATACTAGCATTCTAACCCCATGTAACACACGTCATAAAAAAATTGCATACTTCATCCCTAGAACGCATTCAAATGAAAATCACAAAAGTTTCTAAATCATTAAGCAGTGTGTGTAGAAGAAGTAAGAACGTATTAGTAAAGAATAATCATGTTGACTTGTTAATTTTGAATACATTGACTAGTTAGGTTAGAGAGTCTGAATATAGTGACTAGTTAGCTTAGGAGGTTGAATATATTGAGATTAATTATACTGACATATTGTTATTTTACAGTTTTTGATCCAAATGGTATTGAATTCTGCAGCTAGTTATTTAATATGTATTTTGTTTTCCCACTTTTTTGTATTTTTTTACAAGTTTCATTAAAGCTATTGATAAAATTTTCTAATATCTTCAGAATGGCTTACCACTTCGAAAACATTATTCCAGCTTACATTTAAATTAGATGATAAATAAATCCAATAATTATCTGAATTTTTTAACCAGTTCAGATACCTATTTCAGAAAACAAGAAATTGCAATTTTTTTAGTATTGGTGGTACACATAAAGATAAAACCGAATAACAATCGCTACATTTAACTTGAAGGAAATTTTAATTCTTAAAACTCCTTGAGCGTTTTCTAAATCAGAAATTATACCTTTCTAAAATATTGCACATGTTCTGTCTTCTTACATTTGACAACATAAAGTAAACCTAACTCTTTCTCTTTTCGCGTTACTTCCCGTTTAAGAATGAAATGACGCTTACAATTAAAGAGACATAATTATTTTTTGTTAATTCCCGTCTATAAGATTGAAAGACAGATATAAATTTGAAATGCATAAGACTTTTAATATAATTTCTCGTGTTTATTCTATTTTCAAAAATAAACTGAAAAATACACAAATATAGCTTTAAGTATGTTTCACACATACCAACAGCCTCTAACCAGACATAAGCTAATGTTCTGTGAAATATATGATTAATATTCTATATAAACTTATCCTGCATTAAAATTTAATCTTTGAAAAATTATGCACAATTCAATTATGCTATTCATGAAGGATGCTCAAAGCCACGTCCCATGGCAAGGTGAGGCTACACAATTGGTGCCAAATTTGTTCTTGAGTTCATACAAAATTTTGAGGCTTATGTCGCATAGTCACATTGATTATTCTTGCCATCTGTGGATGAGAGCTGCAGCCGTTTCTGATGTATTTTAACTAAAATCTTAAGTTAGCAAAACAGCGAAGTAAATATTCCAAGTATTTGTAAATTTTAAGTGTAAAATAAAAGTAATATTGAAGATAGAATTGCCTGCCGTTGCCAGTTCGAGTAGTGAAAAATGGTTGAAAAGGTTTTGGACAGTAGGCTCATTCTTCGAGAAATTTTTTATTTTTGCTTAGCTAAAATTGTCTATACGCTTGCAGAAGGTATGCGGTCTAAAAATACAAAAAAAACATAGAAATATACTTTACTTTTTACACTATGAGGTGCAAAGTTATAATTTTATCTCAGGTACAAAAGATATAAATTTAGCTCTTTTTGTTAACATTATACAAACAAAATAACAATTAATTTTAACTCATTACACATTGAGCCCAGAAAAATACTTTACTTGAGTGATCTGAGGTTTCCTCTGAGAATATCTCTGTAAAAAAGCAAGGCCACTTGTGTAACTGAGAATATCATATTGATTCGTATCTACAGCATATGATGATGCTGTTCCACAACCAGGCTGAGATTCACCTCCATTGGGATAGAAATCTGCGTGACCTATAGGTTCTTTTAATCCATAACCTAAACAAAAGTGAAAAAACTAATTTATTGTTTAGCCTGTATTTATGTTTGCTTTCCAAATGTGTTTTCAAATTATGCCGCATATTTTTTCACCTGTAGTTTCGTGCGCTCATAAGCATATACAGCCATTCATAAATGCGAAGAATTAATCAAAATCGGATAATAAAGTTTGTATTAAAATTTATTTTCTAGTTTTCCAGAAAACACGCCAATAAATGTCAAGCTTTCCTTGCCAATAATATTACCTTAAAAGGGATGTCTCTGTGTTTAATATAATATTATTAATTTATTTTGTCATTTACGCATTTTAAAAGGTATGATCCATTTTTTATGCAACAAAGTGCTAGTAAAATGTTTTAACATTAAAAATGTGTATTTTATGCTGGATTTTTTAATAATAAACAGCTGAACTAAATTAGCTAGATTTATAGTTTTGACTGATTATTATTTATTTAACAGCAATAACACTTATAAAAACTAAAAAAAGCATGTTTAATTTAACAACTTAAACACATTTAAGTTGCTGTAAAGAAATTCGCCAAATATCTGTTGAAAAGGAACTTCCAATTTACTTCGGCATCTCCCCAAGGATTCACATAATAAAAGAATCAGATTACATTATCTTACCGCAAATCTCAAATTTATAAAGAAAAATGTTTGGCGCGTTTTGTCCTGTAACGAAAAAGATCTAAAATGATTTTAAAAGAATAAAATTTGCTTTCCGCAAACATGGTAAGAATTAGAAATGATGCACACGATTTTATAATCCATGCTTTCTTGCTTATCTTTTAAGGGCGCTTGTAAACAAAATTAAATAATAACTTCTAAAATTCAACTTTGATTGATACGTGGAAAAAGGGACATTCTGTATTTTCACTCAAATATTAATACCAAAATATAATACAGGTATTCTACGCATTATAAGCCGCAGTGAGTTATATGAAAATACATAAAATAAGAAAAGAATTCAAACCACTATTATCTTGAACGATATCTGTATGGTACTTCTGTTATTTTGAATAGAAAGCTTTAACGTGATTTTCGTGACGAGCTGATGTTCAAACATCGTAAAGTCTTTTCTTGAAATTGAATGGATTTCAAAAATTTCGCATTTTTATACTTTTTTCATTACGAGTCCAATGGATTAAACGACTCATGCAATTTTTTTTCAAACTATTCAGATTTCAAGATTACTGAACATTTCTTGCTTGTAACGTACAAAAAAAATGAAACGGTGAAACTGAGAAGTTGACAATAAAGAAAGAAAATTTTTTGTTTGGTATAATAAATTCAAACACTATAATATCTTGAATCATAAGTACTAAATAGGTGTAGAATGATAGTATTGCATGTCCCACAAGAAGAATAAATTATAAACAAAATAAATACATGTCAGAATTTGCATGTTTGAAAAAGCTAACTTAAGAAAAGAAGAATTTTCTGGCAACTTTCAAACTCTAAACCTTCCTAGGATAATATATCAAGACAACGCATAACAGAGCTATATTTCTTTAGCGTAGAGATGCCTTCGTAAACTGCTTTATAGTAACATCGTAGAATAGAATTTCTAAGAAATAAACATTAAAATTCCACTACACCCTGGATTCGAAACGCGAATCTTCAATTTACAGCCAAACATGCTACAATGAAAAGTCAGCTATGTCTCAAACGGAATTCAAACCATGGATTTTCTACTTGCAAACCAGACGTGCTTTCGGCACGGGCAGCATCCGCTAGTTCGCACGGGAAAGGAAGATAATTTTTTATAGCTTTAAGATACAATCCGCAGCTCTATCACAGAAACATGTCAACTGGTATAAATGCAGAATGTATATGATTAACTATGGGGCTTTTCTGGTTTCTCTCTCTGACTTTTACTATTAGCACCTCAAGGGAGAATGCTGGAAATAAGCATAAAATATCCTAATGCAAACAGCTCTTGAAAGTATATCATAACCTTAGGTATCTTTAAGGTGTGCAGCTACTTGTGATGCTTCAGATTCCCTATGAGGAGCTCAAGATCTTTGGCGTTCATAAGTCATTGCGAAAATCGTAGCTGCAGTTGGAAATTGATTGCCGGTGCCGAAGTGCGTGACATATGTATGCCAGATACCAATTTAAGATTAGCCTTTTGGTTTTGCTGAAAGTTAAGGTTTCATTAAGTTTTAAATGTACCTTTACTGCGCAATATTTAAGGAATATAAACGGTTCAGCTTCCTGCACGTTTAAGCCTGAAATCTTGTGAATTATTTCTTCCAGATAGCAAACACGGAAAGAAGCCTTCGGTAGAGTCTTATTGATCTCAATAAAATTAAATAGTTCAAATTTATAAACAGTGCATATTTCTAATATGAAAGATAACAATAAATATCTAATATCAGATGGATAGGCAACGTTTCTGTAAACTAGCTTCTCAGGCTACGCTATTATAAAATATTCTGCTAAAGTAATCTAATGTAACATGAAAATGGATAATAGACACTTCTAATGTAAGAATTAAAAACATGTAACTATTTTACTATAAGATTAATTTGTTGTTATTGTAAAACAAATAGTGATTTAGACAACTGAACTTCTTGGTATTTATGGTAGTCCATATAAACGATGGTTTTACTAAGTGTATCTCAGTGGTGCCCAACCTTGTACTCGCCGATCGTTTTGTATGTGCTGGCCATCCCGATTAGGTACTATGAACAAAGATATTTTTTAAATAAATATTCATTTTTATTTCTTAATTGTTAAAATATGGTAAGCATTTATAGTCATAAGAGATATCTTGCAAGACGTTATAAAATAATTGATTGCTGACTGATGAACTTGTAGATAGCGAATATGGAATCTTATTGCTTCATTCCGACGTTAGATAGCTCAGCAGGGTAAAAGTACTTCAACGATTTGTAGAACTTCTTTCGCCAATAAAGCAGTTTTTGGAATCCGGAAACAAAAGTTATAAAGAATTGGACGATAATAATTGGTTATCCGATCAGTATTTTGTCACGGATATAACAGCTAAACTAAACGAAGATCTCCAGGGGATCCGAACGAAACCCTTTTTTCAACTGACTAGGATTGTAACTGCTTTTCAGATAAAACTAAATTTGTGAATAAATCAGATGAAAGAAAAAACATTCACACATTTTTAGAGTTATTAATAACCACAAGGCAATTGAAATAGAGAAATACTCGGAAAACCTATGCCTGAAAAAATTTTTGAACTCGCTCTCTATTTCCATAGTTCAAAATATTGTTATTCATCTCAAACCCATTTTCCGAAATTAATATTTCAGATGTATCACATACGATTGGAAATATGTTTAACAAAAACGTTGATGTTTTGGAAATGTGTTCGCGATAGGCCAAAGGTTGGGTACCACTGGCACTGTATCTGGATTTTTTCAGAGCAGTAAACCAGTATACCTTCCAGATGTTTTCCATCTACATTGGTGTGTATGACGTCAACGAAGCTAGCATCACTTTTATCTAATCTCACAGCTTCACTTACGCCATTGAAAAAGGGGCCTGCTGGATCCAAACCTAAGAAGAAAATATAGATGTGTGTAACAATATATTGTTTCTTTCAACCTCCACAAAATTTCGTCATATTTCAATATAATAATATTTACCTCTTTGCACAAAATTATTTGTGCTCGAGTATTATAAATTAACGGATATGAGAACGCCATATGTACACTTTACACAAAAAAAATGGAACAAGTCTATATCTCTCGTTCTACTGAGCCGATTGATGAAATTTAACTTTCGTCTTTCATATCTCGAAAGCGCGGCTTAAGATTTGTATTAGATTTATATACATAGCAATGTTTTAATATAGATATTCTGACACAAAATCGGACTTTCTCTGAAATACCATACCAATTTTTTTCCATATTTCCATTCTACAACTCAAATTATGCTAGTGCCAAATTTTGTAAAAGTCGCACGAGGAGGTTTTTTTAAAAAAACTCTCTCTCTAAATTTTAGCTCTCAATATTAATTGACTTTGGTGTGTATTTATTAATATCTCTTTTTTTATCAAACTTACTTCATTCCTTCTTTCATAATTCGAAGTTTAGGTTCAATCCAAATAAAATTTGCAGATATTTTCTGTTTTATTTTTTAAATTTGTATATTTTAGTAAATTTTCCGAAAACAGTTTTGTATAGCCTATGAATATTTTGCCATCGCCTTATAGTAGAAGTATATGTGCCTGAAAAAAATTAGAGATTTTTATTTAAAACTTCCAACTTTATATGCTTATATAGCGAAATTTGGCATATTTCTCATAAGCGACAATAACGCCAAATATTATTTACACACTTTGTTATAATTATTTGATATAATTAACGGTGCACCTTTTTTTTCCGCTCGCGCATAAAGATAAAAGGTAAAGGAAAATAAGTTACTATAAATTAGGTATTACACCAAGTGAACGTTTCTTGGGGAAAACTGAAAAATGTGTCCCATGATAATTTTTTAATTTCTCGGTAAGTTTCTCACGAAATTTTACATTTGGGCATAATCTGAGTCGCATGATCAAAATATGGAAAAGCATCAGTATATCATTTCAGTAAAAATCCGATTTTGTGTCAAAATACCTAAGTTAGAATAATACCATATATAATTCTAATACATATACTAAGTCGGGCTTTCGAGGCATGAAAAATGCAAATTAAATTTCGTCAATTGGCCCAGTACGACAGGAGATATAGAACTATCTAACATTTTTGTGTGTGTGGAGCGTGTACGTGTATGTTTTTATATCCATTAGTTTATAAGAATTATTTCTGGTATATGTCTCAGAAGCTACACATTTCAATAATATATTATTTGGAACAGCGGCTCTTTTTAAGTACTCTGTGTTTATAAAAATATTTTAAATTACGTTGAATAAAATATGTAATTTACCTGTAATTCTACCAATTGAGATATTTCGACTCTCCCGAATCCACTTGCCAGCATATCCCGATGCCTGTGCACCAAGCCCATGACCTATTATGTGCACTAAATCTAGATTCAAGTTCGAGGTATTCTGAAATATAATTTGAAATCAATAATCTGTGAAACTTCATCCCATATTTTAAAATACCATTAACAGTTCGAAAGCATCGACGTAAATGTATAAGGAAGTGAACTTTTATAATTTCCTCAGGCAAAGAAACGAAATATTCAGTCCGCATAACAAACGATTCAGAAATGAACATAATTGAAATTGTGCTTAGTAACCTATTTACGCCCGTGCAAGTATTTTAGACACAAATATGTCTTCTAATAGTATCATTTAAGACAGACAGACAGACAAAGTAGACAGATGTCTTTTGTTGCACCCGCTAAGTCTTTCTGCACCGATGGGCGAAAAATCAAGCATAGGTGCGAAGGAAAGGTATATAGAAAAGGGGGCAATTTCGTATTTCAGAGGAGGGTAAAAAGGAACTTCGTATATTTTATACGAGTTCGAAAGGCCAGGAAGAAAAGATGGGACAAAATAAAGTAAAAAATAAATGGCCCAAAAGTAATGGAGAGGAAAAAAAAAAAATTATTATAATTAAAAAAGGGCCTATAGAAAGAAAAGGAAAGGAAGTAAGAGAATTTTGTTTAAAAAAAAAACAATATTGTGTCCATGAGCGTAGTCAAAAGAAGTTGTTATCATTTACATTAAATAGAGTCTCCCAGGTGTGTGTAATGAGTGTGTTTTGTAAAGCTGAATAGATGTGAAGATGGGGGAAAATTAATAATAAAATATAAATATTGGGTGTCCAGTCACATAACAGTCAAGTTTAGAAGCTAACTTTTGCTATAACAGGGAAACTAAAATTTAAAAATTTTTAAATTAAACTTTTATTTTTTAACATGGGAAGCAATATGTTGGCCTCTAGCTTGAGACACAGTAACAGAAGAGACATAAGATCAAGATGCATATAATATCATGCAAAATTATACATTAACTTAAGTAACATCATCAATTGCGGTTTCCAACGTATTCATATACTCAGAAAACAACATCAGATAAAATCATAAATTTAAAACAAGGCGAGAACACATCAGCAAAAGATAAAGTAAGTAAATAAATTACAGAGTTTTTTTTATTTTAATATCAATTAATTTTTTGAAAAAAATAAGCATTTTATTTATTCATTAAGTTAATGGTCATAATTTTATTATATGTGTACTATTTTATCAATTTGAGGCACACTGTACTAATATATGCTTTTAATTGAAATAGATAGGAAATATAGATTAAAGGAGCAAAAACTACAAATCTATACATTCATTGAGGCTCAAGATCGTGTTTTTTGCCTCTCGAGAAATTCCTCAAAGGGACCCCAATGGGTAGCGCTAACAGACTACACTACTGATAAGGGCTACTGATAAGGATAGCGTCCCTACGAGATGGTAACCAAAAAACAAAAACAAAAAAAGGAACCACATGATTTAAAGCAATTATTAAGTATTTAATGGCAGAACATAATAAAATGAGCATAAATATAATGATCATAATAAATAAACGAAATTAAAGGTACTTTAGTGACAAATATTTGATTTAGCTTAGAGAAAAGAAGTTCTATTTATCTGAATGTTCCGTCTTGGTGTTGTAAAAGATTGCAAGGAAGAAAATACCTCCAGGAGAACTTTCGGTTTTGAGAACGAGACAATGTAGAGGATATTCGCGAACATTTTTCTTAAATAAATGAATATTTTCTGAAAAAGATTTTTGAAAATTTAGGAGCTCTTCTAAGATCCTGCCTCCATCGCACGTGATCAAAGAATCTGTCTGATATCTGAGACCCGACGAAGGAGAATCTATCATTTAAGGAAAGAGTAGTGGCGATGAGGTTAACCAGCGGTTAAAGTTTTATACTCCGTGTGTTTGGCTTTTAAGCTACACTGCTGGCCACCCAAATTGCAACACCAAGAAAGACAAGAGGTATCACAACAAATCTTATTTAGTAGATAACATGTTGACCAAGTATAAAATGATTAAATTGTATAGACTTCTGTGAAGTGTGTAGTTCCCTTCCATAATCAGTAGCCAGAGTAAGCCGCCTTTGTTGGAGATCACCGTCTGCTACATACAACTCGGCATTGATTCAAAGAGACTTTGGATGTTTTTTGGGGGTACAGCAGACCAAGCAGCTTCCACACGTTGCCAAAAGTTGATCTGGCTGGATGGCAGCTTGGAGATGTAATCTGGGTCAATCATTCAGCAACCATGGAACCATATGTTTTCTATCGGCCGAATGATCCGGAGAGCGAGCCGGCCAGGGAAGCAATCTGGCAATTGACGAAGAACCCTTGGAAAATGCGTGCCGCGTGTGGTCGCGCATTATCCTATTGAAATATGGCTGTGGGCAAGCCCTGAATGTAAGGAAGCACAACTGGCTATAACACCTCGGAGATGTAGCGCTGGCTGTTTAAATTACCGGCAATGCGTATTAGAGAAGTGCGAGAGGGATATCCAATACCACCCCATACCATAATACCCGGTGCAGGACCAGTGTGGAGGTGCATAACGCAGCTGTTCAACAATATCTCTCTACGGTGTCTCCACACTCAAATCCGACCATCGTGGTGTTGTAGACAGAAGCGTGACTCGTCAGTAAAGACAATTTCATTCCATTCTGCCATCCACTTCCTTCTTTTGTCGCACCATTGGCGGCGGAGACGTCTGTGGTTCTGCGTCAAGGGTAGACGAAGCAATGGAGTCTTGCGGACGGACCACTCTGCTGTGAACGGCGTCTAATGGTACGCGAAGACACCAGTCAAATGGTACGCGCAGACTGGATGATGCGTTACAGACTGAATGTGCTGTGCTATGGTTCGTGATATGACTGAGCGATCCGTCACTGCCATGCGCACAATGTTCCTGTCGTCAAGTGAAGTGATGCACTGAGGTGGAGGCGATCGGCCACGTCGGTCCGTCTTGCCCTTCTGCATCCAACGGTCATATATCCGCCTTACAGTTGTTTGCTTTCGTTCAACACGACTACCCATTTCCCTGAGAGATAATCTGCACTCTCGGTAGGCCACTATCCTTCTTCTTTCGAACTCAGATACTTGATCAAACGATGATCGCTGTTTACTACGAGTCATAATTGATCCTTTAAAAAAAACAAGAACACAATTACCGAACTTGAAATCGTCGAAAACTCCAAGCCTTAAACAGCGTTTGAAGTAGCGCCACAGGCGCGCGTGATGTGCGTCTACGCTGAAATTCTAATCACTTGCATATCTCACCTCCTCTAATGCATGTTGTAAACTTCATGTTATTTGCATGCTTCCTTCATGGTGTTGCATTTCCAGTGGCCAGCAGTGTATAAGAAGCTAGAATGGACAAGGCATGCTATATTCGTTTTAGTTAGAGTGGAACTGTTTTTCTAAGAGTTTCCAAAAATTCCACAACCGATCTTCATAAAGTTGTATATACATACTATACTATTTCAAGCCCACTAATGTAAATCATTTGAGGACAATTGACTCACGTTGCAAGAAATTAATACATGTACAAAAAAGGTACAGAGCGGGAAGATGTGTGCAGGAAATAAGAACTTCACTAGTGGTTTTACATATACAGTGTCACTGTATAGCTCCATCTCAATTTTAATAGAGAACAATTCTGCTATGTATCTGATGTCTCCCACCCCTCTTATCCTCGCACCAAATCTCTAGAGACGACATTCAGCTTGGCAGTATTTTGAACGGCACCATGCCGCACAGACACTATGCTTTTGCAAACATCCAAGTATTCTCCGGTATTCGAACCCACGTTTATGATGGTACAACGTGGTATAAAATGCGCTAACATACACTTATAAAAATTTGTGCACCTGTATAGTGCAGGTTAGAAATTCCTCCATAAAAGCTTCTCTCCTCTTAGGCAGATAGCCCTCGAGGCTTTGCCATAATCACACAAACCAAACCAACCAAAGACCCCAGCACTACTTTCAACTATTCCAAATTAAGTAAAAAAAAATCCACTGTTTAGCGTAGAAAATTTTATATCCTAAAGAAGTCTGTGACTGCTTGCCTCAAATTCTATTGTATGGTCTTATTGCCCCCCCCCAAAAAAAAATTACTCCAAGCTAATGTCACTGTTTTGCTTCATTTAAAATTTTACATTAGCCAGCTTCTTTTTCAGATCTTCTTCTTTAAAGTTCAATTATTTTCTAAACGGTTTGAAATTTAGTGATTTTTACCTTTTTGAGAGAATTATGCAAGGAAACTTTTGAAAATGAAATGAAATTTGAAAACGTAATTTAAAATTAAAGAGCATAAATAAGCGTAATTGATCTTAGTAAATTTAGAACGAGTATATAATTCATGCATAAGTTTAGAAATATAGCAGGTAGCTTAGAATAACATCAAAACAGAAATGAATGAGCTCAGTGCAATATCGTTCGTAAAGAAACAAAACAAGCAGAGGAATGTTAGAAAAATTATATAAACAAATGCGTTGATCATATAGAAAGCAATGTGAGCATAAACGATCCTTCTTAAGTAGATACTAAATTGCATTATAAAATCGCAAAACTAGTTATTTAGATGCAATTAAGCACAATTTTTTAAAAATTTGCTTTTCTGTGAAAATATACCTAGAAAAGTAATTCCTACACTTTGCACATAGTAGTTTACAGTGAAATCAGATATATTAATAGTTATATTAAGAACTTAAGCTAAGTAAGTGAGCTTAGGAAGAGTAATCTCAATTTTTTTACTATAGGCACCGATATTAATTTTTTCTCAAATAAATTTTTCGCTTTAGGAAATTGCCCTCGTAAGAGTTTTCATTGCATTTACATAAACAGCATTCCTGAAATATTTTATATCGTTTATATCAGGGGTTCTCAACCGGTGATACGCTTACCATTGGTGGTACGCAAGAGAAAAATAGGTGGTACGCAAAGAAGCAAAGAATTTTAACTATTAAATTGGAAAATTAAAACCCCAACATCCTCATTGAGTCTCTTTCCGTAACATACGTAAATTTATGCGATCTGAGCTTTGTTCAAGAGTGGTGGCGGTAGTAATACTTTGTAGTGGTGGTACTGAAGGTTTTCAATTTTCGTGTAGATGGTACGCGTTCGTCAAAAGGTTGAGAACCGCTGGTTCATATCATCTACTTTTGCTCAGAAGTGAAAATATATTGTTGCGTTCTACGGGTTCATGAATTTGGAGTGATTGATGATAACACTTGATGAAGAATGAAAGCACAATTTATTCGTTAGTATTACACAGAAGAGTTCCAAAGACACGTTTACAGCCATTGGAAAACTACGATAAACACTCTAAACTAATCAGCAACACAGCCTTCAAGTTATCAGTCTATAACGGTGAAGACAGTTTCACGACAAAGAATTAAAGTACAGCTTCCGACTCGGTCAATTTCTGAACTCAAAGCACTACTGCTGAACTCAAACACATTCAAGATACTCTTCCCGACAAATTCAAGATACTCAGCGTACAGACAGGATATTTATAGCTTTTGACCTGCCTTCGAGAAAGCTGTCGGAAAAACCGGTAAGATTTTGTTCTAGAATGTTCTCTCTCCGTCTATGGCATAACGCCGATTTTCTCGCCAAATGGGCGTTTCCGGACCAAATTTGGCAGCTCTATATTTCCTTGTTGTTTTCTGACAACCCTTAATACACTTTGCGGGAACGCTATCTTACCGCAGCTGATCATTTCGAAACAATATTTCTCTTTGCCTTTTTAATTGAAAACGTAGTACTAGTTTGAAATTCTCTGTAAACTTACCATAAAACGTTGAATATAAAGTCCAACTTCAGCTCCTACTATTCTAATGTCAGCAACCGCTTCATCGTACCAATGCGATCCTTCAAATCCCCATTCAACGACAAAGACATTACATTCAGTTCTTGTTAACAAAGCATTCTTCAGCCTCTGCGAAACAAAACGTCCATTTAACAGTGTAAGTCAAATGAATAATTCTTTTAGACACATTTTCAGTTCTAGTACCTAATAAAATACGTATAAGGTAGTATTTTTTACTTTTCTAAACAGATTAATGTTATGGAATTTAACATTCTTTGCTGAAATGCGGAAATAATTTTACTAACATATTACATTAAAAAAAAACTTAAAGAAGCAGAAATACTTCCAATTCACATTTGTAAGGTTAAACTAATTAAATAATTTGCTTAATTTTTACTTTCGCACTAAACTGAAGGCTAAATTGCAACAACACAGAGAAGAGGCAAATTTTAAATAAAAGTTTATTGCCTTATATTGTAATAAAAATGAACAGGGCTCCTACTGTGGACTATGACTCCGCAAGCCCATTACTGCTTGCGGAAACATTAGCAATTCAATTATTTATATACGAACAGGACAACTAACTTCCAACGATTAATTAATTCGAGTGCAGTGCAATATTCATTCTAAACAGATTCAAAAATGCTTATTAATGACGCAGACCAGCTGTAAGTTGATATCACAAGATAAGCAGCTTCATTTATTGTTTTCCACATCTCCGTCTTTCTTTCTAATCTATAAATTCACTCGCCTTTAAACCTAAGCCGTACTCTGGTAAGGGCTGGCAGAAAAATATTATACACACAAAAGATATAGCATAAAATAGTGTATTAGCTAACATAAACCTTACATAATTATAACACTTTTACTTTTATTACAGAATATTCTAAATTTTGCTTTTATATTATCAGTTATATTATCAATATTAAACTTACACCTGAGAAGAATGTTTTTTTCCCAAATGTCTCATGTAAAATGGAGTGGTCATACATTGCATAGCTGAAGGCAAGGACACAGAGTAAAGATAATAGAGCGTTTTAATTTAAGTTTAAAATGGAAAATTCTATCGTTTAGTTAAAACCAAATATATTTTGTTGCTGTCATTAAATTTATAGGATCCCGAATCAATGCTTTAAACATGAAATATGAATGATTCATTTTTGACCTGAAGGAAACATTTGCAGCCACTATGGTGGAGATGTAAAAACAATCCATTCCAAGAAACAAATGGTAAAATGACTAAAATCTGAAACCTTTCTAAATACATAACGTAAATTTTAATTAGGTTTTGATTTTGTAACTACCAAATTATTCCTGAAATTTAAATGAGTAAAATTTTCACTTCTTGAAAAATAATTTATGTATTAAAGGAATATTTTATCTAGCTTCGCAAATTGCTTTAACTTTAAGCGTGTCTTGGTACTGTATGATTGTATTTTACACTAAAAACATTGATTATCTAACAATGTAAAGCACGAGAAAGTCAGAAAATCTGAACATGTCATACATAGGTATTCCTTATTATAATATGTAAGTAGTTCATATAAAAGCAGAATCTTATAAAGATAAGCAAAATGTAAGAGAAATCAACAAATATTAAAATAGGTAATTCACCAACAGCCATTCTGCGTTTCTTCCTAAATAATCATGTATGAGGAAATACGTCTTGCTTTGATTGGTAAAGCCAGACTTCTTCACATCCCAAGTAGAGAAGTTCATATTGGAAAATATTTGTGGAACTTCTTTATTTACTGGGCTAAAAAATCTGAACATTGTTGCAATATCTTTTCTTTCATGTGGTTCTGAATTGTAAAATCGTTCTATCGGAGGATAATCGAATGGGTAGCCGGTATCGAAGGTTCCTAAATCTCTTATGTTGACAACACTTCTTTTCTTTACATCATGTCGGAGAGAACTAGCTAAAAATATAAAAATGTATGAACAAAAGCTAAATATATAAACAAACTTTCAAATTTGGTTTCAATTTTGTATTGACATTTATTACATTCACAAGTACAGAAATGGACTTTTAGCTGATGATATAAACCAAATATATATAGTAGGCAAATATTTGGGGTCTATTCCTTTTAACGAAAGAAAATAATTTTATATGCATAATAATATGAAAAAGAAAATCGCCGAATTCTAGAATATTATGCAAATATTTATATGGAATGTCAGTTTCTTATTTTTTAATTTAATTTTTCAAGTTAATAGAATGTTTCTAATGATATCTTCGTGCCAAATTTCTTCAGAATACCTCATAATCTCAAACATCACTGTTACACTTCCAAGCACAATTCCAAGCATATACTGGAGCAAATACTTTCCGCATGCCTTCGGGGTGTAATTGAAAGCATACTCAACGCGAATCCGAAATGGTTAAGTCCATCAGTAGCTGCCTCCAAGATCATATTCTACACGTCTCGAGTGGAAACGGCAAATTTCGAGCAGTTATTGTGGTTTAAAGAACAGTTTGTGGTGTGCGCGTTTTCGTGTTGCTATTTTTCAGCTTGAGCCATGGCGTATTCAAATAGCAAAACGCATCTTAGTTCCATTATACAAATCTGGAAGAAACTTTACCGCAGACAATTGGTATACCAGTTGTGAATTGGCCAATTCCTTACAGAAAATCATTTGATGAACCATAAACAAAGATAAAAAATTATAGTACTGGAGATGTTACATGTGCGCAAGGCAAAAAGTCAGAAAATAAAACTATATGTGTGAAGTGTAAAAAAAAAATATGTCAAGAGCGGTGTGAAACAGATGCTTCATGTATAAACTACAAAATATCTAATGCTCCTTCAGCCTAATTTATTTGAAAATTCATTATGTAACTCTTTTGTTCATGTCATTATTTAATCTTCATAATTTGAATTATAATTGCATTCACAAATAAAAAACAAAAATTTCTCATAGACATCAATGATTCTTACTCATCTGGAAAGAAAAGATTTATTTGTTTTTAATTTTAAAATTAACATTATTTTAAGCTATTTTATATAATAAATGTTGCAATTAATATAGAATGCATTCCTTTATTGAATTGTAATAATATGTTTAGTTTGTAGTCATTTAACTGCTTGGGGTGTGTTGACATCCCATGAACGTTCTTGTGTTACATAATATCTGAACATGTCATACATGTCATACATAGCGCGTCCTCCTGGGCTAATGTAAAAACTTTCCTGGTATTTCATACCTGTATTTGTGTACTTTTGATATATTGCCTTACTTTCTTTGACATATTTTAATATGCACGTATATATATGCGTTCTCACAGATGTCACAATACGACTTTGCCCGTTTAGAGGTTTAAATCCGTATTTCCCATCTCTTTGTGTTTCTGCTAATGCTTCATAGATCTTTAGCATTCAATGCACAATATCTTTCCTGGTATTTCATACCTGTATTTGTGTACTTTTGATATATTGCCTTACTTTCTTTGACATATTTTAATATGCACGTATATATATGCGTTCTCACAGATGTCACAATACGACTTTGCCCGTTTAGAGGTTTAAATCCGTATTTCCCATCTCTTTGTGTTTCTGCTAATGCTTCATAGATCTTTAGCATTCAATGCACAATATCTTAGGTATTCTTTTAAATATTCTCATTTAAATAGCAATACTGACCATAAAATATTTTAATAAGTAAGGAATATCTTAAAAGACATAAATTATCAATTGTTAACTATTCTAATCACTTTAAACTGGGAAATATTTTACACTTCAATTAGTATATTTTACTTGTTCAATTAGTTAATGGATTATCAGTCTGAAACACTATTGTAATAAAAATATTAGCACATTTTCAAATTTAGAAAGCCTATTTTAGACTTCCGATGTAACTTAAAAAGAATTTTCCGTGCAACATTTCTCATTTATTTGCTCCTTGTTGCTACTTATTGTACGAATATTCTAATGCATAAGATATTAACATATATTTCTTAGGAAAGTGGATATTGTAAATTAAAAATTTCACATAGAAAAGCAGCAAAACTAATATTTCTGTTCTAGTTGAAGTCACGTACAAAGAGAGGGTGCTACATGTATGCTGTTAATTCCGTGTTATTTGACTCCAAATAAATGACTGAAATAATTCTATTGTTCTTTAAGAACAGTTTTGTTTCCTTTTACAGTATCATGGTCCATTTGAGAGTGGAAATAACGGCAACAGGAAAAAAAATGCTTCAGGTCACTTAATCGACATCCCAGTAGCTTCCTCAGCGGTCTCAACGGTACAAAATCATCACTCACTTTTGAAGTCTGCATTTGCGCATGATCGCGATGTGCCAAATCTGCGTGATATTTGCAGAATTCCTGTTGCAACATGTTAAGGATCAAAAAGCGTATCTAATATATAACTCTTACGTCTATTCTTATTTCGAAAAAATAACTAACTTTCCTGAATGTGCAGTTTAATGAAGTTACAAGACTTAATAGTTTCAAAATATCAACTTACAATAAATTTTAAAGTATTTCATACTATGGCTATTTAGCGCTGTTAACATTTCATTCTCGCGCGTAGTAACGTGATATTTCGCTTGTACGAATAAATTTCCCCTCGCCTTTATCTATTCTACCACTTAATTTTCTGCAAATTTCCGTATAATGAGACACTACTAATATCACCAACCGATGGTGACATAAAAGGCTTTGAAATTTATTATAGCTGGACGGTAAGCTGGGAACTTCAAGAGCTCTTAGCTTCCTTAAAGGGATCCACTATTGGTTTTGATTTTTAATCGATTTCTTTTGTCAGGGCTGCAATAGATATAAGTCTCGATTATTATGTTGAAATCACATAAGTTCTTCTCTTCATTAAAGACATTTAAACGCTCTATTTCCGCCCCGATAAATATTGTTGTCTGTAGCTGCCGTACCGTTTGTTGGGTTGGAGATCGAGTCAAAGAAAACGCTTTGATGTTTGCAAATCTATAGTGTTTGCGCGGCATGGGGGCACTCAAGATATACGGCGAGCTGAAAATCGTCTTCAGAGATTTTTGTAGTAATGGAATAGAGATGGGAGAGCCTCGGTTCTGTCCTCCGTGTGGTTCTTCTTTAAATTTAGGGCAAAGCAGAGCAAACTCGTACTGTCACCTAAATGGTGCTTATAGCCTATACCAACGACAAATGGAGTTTTACTGTTCTTGCTGCGATAAAAGACGTAGACTTGTTCGGATTGCGTGAGACAAGTAAGATAAGCCAAAAAAACGCTCATTTCTGTGTTGTTGTTTTTATAAAATAAGTATATATGTTGATAACTCTTGTAAAGACTTTATTTTATTCTAACCAATTATTTTTAGTTTAAGTTAAGTTAGGAAAGTTAAGAAACTTTCCTTTCCCTTCTGATTTAGATTTCTCTCCAGAATGTAAATTTAATGACGTATATGCAAATCTAACTGAGGTCATAAATAGTATTTAAGCAGCGATTCTAAGAGTTCGGGTTCGAGAGTTAGCTCTAAATTTATACCGCTTGGTTGATTTCGTAACCTTGTAGTTGAATAGTTGGTGCTAGCCATTTTCTTTAGATTGTATTGATATTCTGGGTTTGGCTTTGCTGTGTGCAGCTGATTTAGCGGTTTAGATAAATAAAGAAGGAGCCCGTCTGTAGCTAATCTTTACTTCCTTCTGATTGTACATCTTATCTTCTGTTCAAGTTACTTAGCCACAAATGGTGGTTAAATTGTGAGCACAGAGTGAGTGTGTTATGTTCAGTTTAGTTAAAATAAAAAGATTACTAAAATCTTCTTCTGAATTCATCTGTTCTCTCCAAGACCTAGCAAGAATTCGCTAATTCGTCTTTCAGTATGGTCTAGCAGTCTATGATCCCGAAACACACCAGAAGACTACACTGTGATCAAAACAGAAAGTTTTAAGTATTATTTATTTGATTTTTTTTCAAAAACTTTATTTGGGTTTTACGATCTTTAGAAGTATAGAAAAAACAACGCGCAACAGCTACAGAGCACAATAGCTGACCACAAACATGTACTACTATATCTTGTTTAAAAGGTACCATATAGTTTCAAAGTAGGTGTATTATTAGCAAACCAGTTATATTTCATTTGCCTTTATGACTAGTTTAGATGGCACTTTTTCGGTCAACTTCGCTCTTCGCACAAGAATTAGTATTAGGTACATCAACGAAGATTTTTAGAAGACAAAATGTTATTAGTTAACATCAAGTCCATAAGGATAAAATAGAAGAGTAAATATTATGTAAATTCTAATATTCAGAATAGTATTGAAACTGTGTAAGAAATAACTATATTAAAAATACTGTTTAAGAGTAAGTTTTGAATTATGCATTTTCCAGAGTGGGTAAGACTATAAACGTAAGAAATGTTCAAATGCTTTAAAATTTCTGAAAAAACTGTATTAAATGACGCTGTTCTTATATGCACTGTCACCAAGATTACCAGTGTCTATGCTTGCTGGTAAACATAAATAGTAACGTAAATTTATTTTTTTTTCTTTTTTTTTTACCAATGGCGAGCTCTCAGCAGATTTCGGTTTGGCCACTGCTAAGGCCAGAAGCGGTGGTCCCTTTTTATTATAGAGGCATCTGATAGGTGGTCCACCTTTGCCTCCTATAAAGGACGAACAATTATAACCATGCATTCTCTGATTCAAACCCGGGCTATTTGGCTTAGCAGTCGGCTCCCCTAACCACTATACCGTCATAAATTTAAATTAAGTATATTATTTCGGTTAATAGATTCATAAGCTTAACTACTCAGAAGTCGCATTAAAACTGAAGGAAAAAAAACCTCCAAACTGTTAATAATATTATTAGCTTGTTTTCACAGTTGAATCAAATTTAATAATTATTTTAGGACAAATGGGCGTTTTCCCAAAACGGCTATTAGTCTCAGAACGGCATTTTACGTCGAATCATTAAAAGCGTTGAATCATGTTTCAAAACATTTCCACCAAATACTATCATCTTGTATTATGTTTCAAGAAGTTATATAATGAATAATCTACCTGAATTTATGTACGTTTCTCACACTGAGAAAAAACAACGGTACCTAGAGTCATCAAATTTTTAATAATGTAGTCCTCCATCCGAGCACGGGCACTTGGAAGCCCAAATTTCGAATTTCAAATTTGTTTTATTATCTATATTATATTTTGTAAAATTTTAACGAATTCTGGAGTAAAAAGCTCAGCAATTTCAAAGCGAACCGTGGCAACATTGTAGGGAATAAAGCATTTTTTTCTCAAGCTCGCAAAAGTGTCTATCGGAAATTCTAAAGATATGCTGTTTTTAAATATTTTTAGCACAACGTGCCGCTAACCTCGGCTCAAATGTTCTCGAGACGTGTATGTGTCTGTAAATGAAAAAAACGCCCTCTTGGGCTTAATATAAAATCGGAAAGCTTTCGGATTTTATTTAAGTTTTTATTTTTTAGAGGTAAATACATATTTTACAATGAAACGGAGTTATCTTTATGTGTTTGCAAAATGAGTGAACTTTGAATTAAATTGTTTTTCAAAGATTGTTTTAGACATATAAGTTTTAGACATATATAGACATTAAGGGGGCTTATACACCTTAAACCCCTTATGATCTTCGAATATGTGACTGTTGCAAGAACCGGGATATTATATTTATTTTAAAAACAATTACTTGCAACTTTTTACAGCTGACTACATAATATAGCTGCTTTGGAAACCAGTAACCAGAAAGTTTGTGTTGCCACGAATATGTTTGTAATTTAATCCGCTTTGTGACAAAATATTTCGTCATGTTTCCACTTTGCGCTCGTGATATTTTAAAAATGGCTAATGGTACATACTTGAAATTAGATGGAATTCTTTATATGTGTAGTATTATTTTCTAACTGAACCTAAAATCTGATGAATATTTTAATATTAAAAAATGTTATGGACGAAAACATTACGGACTTTTTTAATAGATATATTTTATAAACTCGACTCCAAATAAAATAAAAAATTAACATTAAATTCTTAGAATTTTTGGTTCACAGTAATTCCCAAATGTTATAAAAGCTTTATATAAAATATGGAATTAAATTACGCAACAGAATGCTTTAAACTGTGCGCGCAAGGTGGAAACATGACGAAAACCTTTGCCACAAAGAGGATTAAATTATAAAAATATTTGTGGCAACACAAACTTTCTGATTACTATTTCAAAAAGCAGTTATATTATGAAGTCAGCTGTAAAAGGTTGGAAGTAATTGCTTTTAAACTAAATAAGTTATCCCAATTCTTGGAACAGTTACATATTCGAAGATCTCATGGTTTTGAAGGTGTATGAGTCCCCTTAAATTTCTCGTCATATGAAAATAATTACCAGGAACGTTTTTAATTTCAAGTAAAGATAACGATAAATGTTTAAAAATAATTTTGCAGAACACACCGATGAAATTTTCCATTCTCTGATAAAACATCTGCCATTTTTTTAGGAAAATGGATGTTGATAATATCTCAAAATCGGATTTCAAAAACTAGAAATTTATTCAAATGTTTTATACTAAGTAGAAAATTTCACATGTACCATATCTGTAACAAACTTCTTTTACTTTACTTTTGTAATGAAACTTCTTAAAATTTAGAAAGTATTTTTGTGACTGTTTATGAATGAGTTATACACCACATATTTTATAGTTTAAGAATTTCGTACTGACAATTAAATATAATAACTTCAATTTATACAATAATTTTATTTTAATTTGTAAAGAAATTGATTACATGAGTCACTAAATAGTTAAATATTAATTACATATAGGATTCGGCAAACAATGTGGAAAAACATGGTAAAAGAAATTCTCAAAATGACGATCGTTTTTGCTTGAAACTACAGAGTTTGCAGTTGTGCTTTATGTTTTTAAATGTGAGAATTCTTTTAAACTAGAAGAAAACCATAATTGCTTTCTAGACATCGTTTCGTGTCGTTGAAAATGCCCAAAACGATATCCAGTTTATACAGATTTTCAAAGCGGAAGACCAAAGAAAATTCCCAGCTGCTTTCTAAAAATCGTTTCGTGTAAGTTATTAATTAGGTAGGACCCGCTTGAAACAACGTAAATAATTACATTTATCAAAGAATACATTTAATTTTTTAATCTTATGCTCCCTTTCAGCAATACTGGATGTTTTTAATATTGCAAATAATATCAAAATCAACTAAATTTATCTAAAATGTATTACGTATTTTACAAAATACTTATATGTAAAGACTAAATAATTTTTATACTTAGGTATAAATCAGCCAGATCCCTTAAATTCTCATCAAAAGAATAATTTGATTAATTTTGCAATGAATAATTCATAAAAGTAAAAATTGAATACTGACTTATAATAAAAAGAAATAGTCCATAATACCTTTTAATGCATCTTCTCTTGCCTTAGAGTTAACGACAGTTATCAATGCTAGCAAAATTCGAAATAGAAATTGTTCCATCTTTTAAGTGTTTCGTATATATTACAGCTATGGACAAAGATGACACAAATATACTTCTTAAGATATAAAAATAATTAACCAAGTACTATTTGATTTATGAAAATGACATTAAATAATTCTCGTTTTTCCAGTTGAATGTAGAGTAGCATTTATCGTTTCAAAATCTGACGGGTTCCGGAAAGAACATACACTATTTGACAGAGTAAGAAAAGGATTAAAAAAACTTTTACCAGCTGTTACTCTCATCAACCAATATATGCTCAGATTTCTCTTAAAAAACAACAGAGGATGATATAATGGGTACATAATATTGGTGCTCTAAAATTGTTTCTAGAGAGAAAACAGATTAAAAAAGGAAAAATAATTTTAAGTATTAAAGAAAAACTTCAACGTTTCATGAATAAATGCATGAGCATTTCACGAGGAAAAATGGCATACAATTGAGGTATTTAAAAAGGGATAAATAGATAAACAGATAGACAGAATGAAAGATAAATGTGTAAAGTAACTAGGATAGTATGAATGAAGTACATAAGCAGATACTTAGAAAGTAGAAAAACAAATAGCTAAACAGCTAGGTTGGTAAAATTAGTCCGTAGGAAGGTAGAGATAAACTAGTAAAAAATATTTTTAAATACGTACTTTTCAGCAACAGAAAACGTTTTCAAAATATTTACTGTATATATTTCTGAAACGATTTATACTTTTTCTAGATGAACTTTAACTTCTCTCATCTTTCAGTATGCAATACTCTGTATATAACTCAAGCATATTTCACTTAAGTAGTCCCACATAATAAAGCAGACCTATTCATTCTTTGTGTTAGAAATTTTGTGTAAACTTTTATAAGAACTTCAGCATGAATAATTTGCAAATTTTCTGTAATTAAAATCCACATAGCGTTTATTTTGAGCAACAAAGGTAAATTTATTTTAGCTCTTGTAAAGTGTGAAAAATATTTTCTAATGATTTTTAAATAATTTAGTAGGCATAAAAGTAAAATATCTGTTATTAAAATTTCTTTACAAAATACTTTCGTAATTTTAAAATAATTCATTATTGTTTACATTGTAGCCAAATGCCGTACAATTGTAAAAAAACTGTACCTTCTGTTATAGTGCAAAAAGCCTCAACTATTACAAAGTGGTTGAGAAACTTACTGGAAGGATTTGATTTCTAGCCGTCAGCCAAGTGTTACGAAATAACTGTCTCAATAAGAGCAGCTATTATTATACTTTAATTAGCATTTCCTAACCTCTGGCTTAAATATGAATCCTAAATTATTAATTATTCACTTAAAAAACTTTATTATGAAAAACAAATCACTTTAGATATCTTTTAGGTTATTTCATTATACTATTCGCAATTCTTAAACTGTTCTACAAGGAGTAGAGCCTTGTCGCTCAGGTACCCTGGTGTACTAAACACAAATCCACGACCATCTATTGAAATCGTAAAATTCAATGGATAGTTGAGGCAACATAGTGCTTATGCAATGTTATTTATACAAGATATATTGGTTATTTATCGCCAGTTGATTTCTTTAGTAAAACCGACATGTAATATGTGATAAGGAAGGACAACTTTCATTGAAATTTGTGAATGTTTTTTCGATTAAGTAAACTCAGAAGTGGAGATTAATGGAGAGAATGAATGCAGAAGATGATGACAAGTTCTCGTTAACTCTGTCGTCATTTTGAAAGTCTCACGAATCATTACGCAAACATAAGTAGTAGTATGTAACATAAACAATTAATTTCATTTTTTAAAAGCTTAAATTTCCATCTTACATTTTTAGCAAAGCTATATTAGTTAATTAAGAAATATGAAATAGAGAAACAAAAATATGCCTCATGCTTTCTTGCGCTCCCAAACCATTACTCGAGTAAGCATTTACAACTTTTAAAACCGTAAAAACAAATGTCTGCGATGTTATCGTAGTGCCTTGATTTCTGTGTGTTTTTAATTTTTACAATGACATTTTCTATGACGATGTTTTAAAATTGCTAAGTTTTCTCCTTGGTTTCTTTTCTTCCGCGATATTTTGCACCGATGCTTTCGCTTTGCTTTGTTTTCTCCCAGGACATATTCGTCCACGATGTTCATGGTGCGATGGTTTCCTATGTAAGCAATTATTTTATACACTTAAAATGAAAACATATTTTGTAAAAATACTTTTTTAAATATTTTTATTTGAGACTTGAGAATTCGATCTTTTATTCCTTCCGATCTGCTTATATTTCTTGCATAACAAGCTTATGTGTCTCGGTACATACTTTGCAAGTGTTATAATGAATTCCTTTCTTATCGTATTCACAAGCTTGCGATTTGTTGGTCAAATGTTTTCATGTATTTAATTTAACTGAGTGTCTTGCCGAACTTTATTCTCAATAAGGTACTGGTGTTCATTATATATAACAATATAAATGCTGAACTTCTAAAGTAAATTTTGTAATTTTAAATTTCTATCACGCATCGTTGATTGAAAATCCTAATTCAACGGTATCTATTTCTTATGTAATAGTTTATTTCGAAAGTTTCGTAAATGGCGTTACTGCATATGTTTTACAAAAATGCGAGTTTCTCTTCTTTGAACTACGCAAAGTGTCTGCATATTTTTGTAAGTGCGCACAGATAATGCAGTCGAGCTAGGAGTCACTTGACTTTTGCCGCACTTAAAGCAAGATGACTTTCTCTTGTCAATTTTCTCGACAAAATAATTGAAACTACAGGAATATATTATGAAAATTTCCAATGCAAATATCAAATATCAGTCATTGTGAAGATTTCGCTGTCTGGTTGAAAGACTTCGAAAAGAATACAAGTACTTGTTGAATACTCGAATACTCAGAGTTTAATTTGCGCCGGAGCTCACCGCAGCCGAGCTCCAGTACTTCTTAGTTTTTGGAATAAATCCTAATTCTATCCGGAGCGCACCGGAGCCCTAAATAAGAAGGCTCCCGCACTTCGTTATAGTAACTGAAGAATTTTTTGGTAGAAATTTGATCTCAAAAATTTTATTTTTAGTAATAACATTATATCAAAAATTGTTTGTTAAATTTTAATTTATCTCTTTATAGTTTGTTAAATCTTAATTTTAATTATTTAATTATTTTAATAATTAAATGTTTAATTTTTGATTACTTTAATCATTGATTATTTAATTGTTTTAACAATTAATTATTTAACTGTTAATGATTTGATTAGTCATTTTATTTATTCTTGTTTCCCTTTCCTGACGGTCTTCCATAGGGCTCTTGCACTTCAAATTTTAGAAATTAAGCCATGTGAATACTTCAAAACAAATGCAAAGCAAAATGTAAACAACAGCTTTCAAATATTCAAAGTCACAATAGTAGTAGAAGCCCCACTGATCTGTACCCGAAACTCCTTCTTCAGTTACGATACCAGTGTACACTTAAGAGATATACAAACCGGCTCATGAAAAAGGAAATGTTCCACGATTTTCGCTAAATTTACTACAGCACTTGGGTAATTATAGCAAATAGCTAATAAATAAAAGCTAATTTTTCAGTTATCTTTAACTAAGAATTAACTTTTGAACCATAATCAGATTTCTATTAGTGTCATTTTGTAATGCGATGCGGATAGTTGGATAATGATAAATAATGCCAATTGTCTTATCAAATTTGCACTCTTTATCATTTGCTTTTAACCTACGTCTTATAACAACCAGAATATATTACCAGAGAAGTCATTATATTACACGATAATTTCAGTTGTTCGTAAAAGTTTTACAAATTAACCGAAAAATGCGATATCATTTGTCTTACTCACATAATGAGACTTAAAAGAAAACATTTGACTTTGACCGTATGTAATTGTGTATGCTATTTTTAGTAATTTTCTATCTGCTAGAAAACAAACAGAAGGATGAGCGAAAATTTTTTACTAAACATAAGTGATCTTACAATTCTTGCTAAGAATCCTTTCAAGGTAACTTACGTAGCATTATGTAATTTAATTTCAAATTTTTGTTTGATTTGCAATCCCGACCAATATTCAGGTCAGAGTTAATACTGATATGATATCCCGTCGTTAGTCCATATCTAAAATGATATTGATTTTTAGGCCAGTGAAAAGATAAAAAAAGAAGTTTCTACACTTCCTCTTGAACCTTACTTGCACGTTATACTGTAAAGGTCATTACATTCTACTCCCTATCGTATTGTAATCTTCGTTTCCTTGTAAGCCCATTAAACGTTTGTATGAGCTATTGGATAACACTTTTACTTCTATATTTCGTCTTCACCTAACACATTTGAATAAGACTGGAAGTGTAGCGCTTCCACAAAGTTCTGTACGTCCACAACAGTCTCGACGATACTATTTTAATTACTTCGAAGTTTAACTTTGCCCAAAATTTCAGCGTTTTTCAAAATGAGCTGGCTAAATTCCTTTTAGGAGCCCTACTACTATATATGGTAAAACTGGGTATTAAACTTGCAAGATAGTAATTGTCCTTGAATTTGAAACAATGTAAACTTAAAATGTTATTATTTGTACTTCTTTGAACCGGTATTTCTCACTAAAGAGATTACAGAATATTTATAAATTTCCTAAAAATTAAGGTATTAATGATTTTTCTGAAGAGTTTCACATATATTTAAATCATTTGTTAGATAAAACTGCAGTGGATATCGCTGTGCAGTAATAACGACTTATGTAATTAAGAAATTTGACTTCAAAATTAGTTTATTCATTTCAAGAGAAAAATTATTGCCTCGAACATTTGTTGAATTTTCAAGTATTCAATAAACCGAAAGTTAAATAAAATTATTTTTCTGATGATTTCATGCAGCTTGGAATCTTCTCGAGCTGCTTAAACAGCTGAACATCTGCGTAGCATGAAAACTATAAGTATCCAACATACACTGGTGTGCAAAAATTAAGGACGAGACGGTTTTTTTTCAATATAACTTTGTACAAAAGCTTTCCAAATCAACACATTTAATACCGTAAGATCCCCAATACGTAAGAACATGAGTAATGTAAGCAACACTTCTAAAAGAGAAATCAGAGGGATAAAAAGAAGCTTTATTGAAAAAGTAGCATGGAGCGCAATGCGACTGAAGGCCGAAACATCCCTGTGATGGGTGTCCAGCAAGAAACATCCGGTCTTTACTAGGGGATATGATCT